GCATTTTTACACACAAAATTAAGAGATTTGACTCATATCAATAAACAATCTCCATCTCCTGAAATTTATGAAAAAATATTAGAACTTAAAGAAAAAATAAAGCAAAAATTAATGGATACGATAGCTAAAAATATGGATAGATTAAAACTTAAATATTACTCCAAAGGCAATCGAGCTGAAAAGATGCTATCCCAAAAACTTAGAAAACAAAAAGGACAAAATAAGGTAGACAAAATAATACAGAATGGAAAAATAGCACTAACCCCTAGAGAGATTGGAAAGTGTTTTAATGAATATTATGCCAATCTATATAATATTCCTCAGATTAACACAGATGAGGATATTAAAAACTATTTAAATAATATAAAGAAGCCTCAATTAACTTCTATTGAAAATGATTTCTTAAATAAACATATAACTATGGAGGAGACTATGAAAGCAATAAATGATTTAGAAAGATCTAAAACACCAGGCCCGGATGGGTTTAGCAACCTATTTTATAAAACATTTAAAGATTTAATATGCCCACATTTGACCTCTGCTTTCAACATAGCGGCAAACAGAGGATTTTTACCAGCAGAGATGCTTAAAGCTAATATCTTGCCTATTCTAAAAAACGATAAAAACCCCACTGATATCAAAAACTATCGTCCGATATCTTTAATAGATGTTGACACTAAGTTATACGCTTCGGTTTTGGCTGCCAGAATAAAAAAACTCCTTCCACTAATCATCCACAAAGATCAAATAGGATATGTTCCAGGTAGAAATTCCTATACAAGTATAAGGAAAATTATTAATATCTTGGATGACGCAAATAGATATGATGTTCCAGTTCTGACTCTGTCGATTGATGCTGAAAAAGCATTCGACAGAGTCAGCTGGAAATATTTAGAAGCCGTCCTACAACATTATGGATTGGAAGGTTGGATTAAGAAAGCTATAATGGCACTATACGTAAATCCTGTTGCACGAACTATTGGACCTAATATTGTCGCCCCATGGTTCCAACTTAGAAATGGTACCCGACAGGGCTGTCCCCTTTCACCATTGCTCTACTTGCTGACTATCGAGCCATTGGCTGAGAATATTAGGAATAATAAAGAGATCCATGGTTATAAAATAATGGATGAGGACCAAAAAATTAGCTTATATGCTGATGACATTTTAATTACTCTTACAAACCCTAAAAATTCTTTAGAACGCATAATGCAAGAAATAGAGCGATACAGCCTTATATCAAATTATAAGTTAAATACAAATAAATCTTTGATATTAGATGTTAACCTAAATAAAAAGATACAACAAGAGATTAAAAACAAATATGATTTTATTTGGGTTAAAGAAAGTATGGATTACTTAGGAATTAAAATAACCAGAGAGACAAATAAGATCATGGAAGTAAATTTCCTGACATTATTATTAGATCTCAATAAATGGTTAAAAGATCGTAGAAACCTAGAGATTACTTTTTGGGGGCGAATAAATGTTATCAATTCATACGTTATACCAAAGTGGAATTATATGTTTCAAATGTTACCTCTCCATATTCCAATCCATTGGCTTCAATTAATACAAAGAAGTTTTACTCAATACATCTGGAAAGGCAAGAAGCCGAGATTAAAACAGTCAATATTAGTCCAGAAAATATATAAAGGTGGACTTGATTATCCACTCATAATGAATAATTTTAAAGCAGCTATTATTCTACATGTTTATAGAATGCAAATGAAAGAAAATAAAGATGAGGGATGGTATAAAATGGAATTGAAGGCAGGAGAAGTTTCTAGCTTAGATTGTTTAATTTGGAATATAAATAAAATGTCAAAGAAAAAAGAGTATGCCAGTATTATTCTAACTCAATTATTGGAAAATTGGTTAAAAATTAAAAAAGTAATGAATATAGAAAAAAAAGTTCCAAGTTATTTAGAGTTAGACATTGTAGAAAAACAAGTGGAAGATTTAAACCTAAATAATTGGAAAAAAGTAGGGATAACGACTCTGGACCAATTATTGACAGAAGGATCAATTAAAACCTTTGCTCAAATAACAGAGATACATAATCTCCCTCCTAGAGAGGTGTTTAATTTTCTAAGACTTAAAAGCTATATTAATACACATCTTATAATACCAAAATCTAATCTAAGCAATTCGATAGATTTATTATTTACATCAAAAAAAGTCAATAAACCACTTTCCAAAGCTCTAATACTAATTAAATCAATAGCTAAAGACACAAATCCTACTGCCATACAGGCTTGGAAACAAGACTTGAATATCGATATAAATCTGAATCAATGGGGTTCTTCAATGATGGATGTTAAGAAGAATATACATTCATTAAATTTATTAGAAACGCACTTTAAAGTTTTAAATAGGTGGTACTTAGTACCAGCTAAATTGAATAAAATTTACCCTCTAGTAAATCCTATCTGTTGGAGATGCAATAGTATTAGAGGCAATTTTAGACATATTTGGTGGGATTGTTATAAATTAAAAAATCTCTGGTTGAAAATGCAGCATTTTATATCTAACAATTTAAAACTCGAGTTGATAATCTCTCCAGAGGTAGTTCTACTTCATCTAAATTGGCCTCATATGACATATGAATTAAAAGCAATTCTTATACATCTGTTTTTAGCGGCTAAAATAGTAATTGCGAGATGGTGGAAAAGGGATTCAGAAGTCCCCTGGAAGAAAGTCAAAATTCAACTCGAGTTTCAGATTGGAATGGAGCTGATGTTAAGTAAACAAAGATTAAGCAATAAGATTTCTGTTTGGTCAAAGTGTATTGAGATGATTGATGTATAAAATAATGTCGCTCAATTAGTAGTAGAATAATTCCATGAACATTGTAAATAATTATGAGACTTATCTAAATGATATTACCACTCTACTATGGAAGTCTTTTTGATGTATTTTTCTTCTCCCTCCCCTATTTTGCTGCTGTGTTGTTTTTTTGTATTATAAATGTATATTTGTATGATATTTGTATTTGTATGACATATGTATTTAATGAGATTTAAAAGAAAAAAATTTAAAATAAAGATTAAATATTCAAAAAAAAAAGTCAGATGATGTAACTTTTTTTTTGAATAAATACTAACAAATTTTTGACAAGACCTTAGAGTGCATCTCTTTTTTTCTTGGGGTATATGTATGTATATATATATATATATATATATATATATATATATACACACACACACATACACACACATATATATACACACACACAGTTACTTGGTCTGGCGATTTGCATGCAGCTACAGGCAAATCTCCACCTGCAGTGCTTACCTGGCTCCACGTAGACCCTCTGCTCTGCTTCTGAATAATTTCTCTGGCAGATGTCTTCATCTCAACTCGTCCTCAACCTTCAGGAGGCGCTTGCTTCCTCCTTAGGCTCAACGAAGCCCGCCTAGAGGGGCACCTATAAAATCGTGAGTTACAGGCCTTCTACCGTTGTGCCTCAGTCGCATGTGCACAGAGTCATCACGATTTGGATCTATTCCCTTACTTTCAATTACATAAAAAAAAAAAAAAAATGCTTGTTCCCATTTCGTTTATTATGTTCATTAATATTCTAAATAATGCATTGTCTGGGCACACTTGCAGTTATGGGGAATTATTGGTTTCTTACTGCATAACGCGCTTTCATTTCACATGGTACTTCACAATTACTCTATTTCGGCAGAGTATTCGTTTCCTTTCAGATGAACGCTCCATGAGGTGGATGGGTTGGTTACTCAATAGCATGAATGCACTATGGCTTTATAGAGCATTTGTGCACATTTACACGAATGTTATGTTGACTTTGATCATACATTTGTTTCTATTCAACCTAAATTAATGTTTTTTGCACAAATGGACTTTGTATATATTTCTTACATATGGTTATGTTTGGTTATGTTGATGCTGAGAGGATACCTTCTAGATGACATCTTGATAGTAGTGGTTTCTCTCTAATTTCATAGGTGGTATTAAAAGGTAATATTCATCTGTAACTGGTCCAGGAGCTTTCAGTACAGCATTTTATGGTGAGCACATTAACGTATTCTAGGTAATTCTTAGACAAGTTATTTACTCACCAAACTTGCTATTAAGGTAATATTTCTGCCTATTTTTCGTAGTGTGACAAATCACCCTGTCTCTGGATAATAAGTACTATGTTTCACTCTTCACTTTCCTATGTGTTTGGGGCATTACATTTCACTTCTTTTTATTATTTCATGTACACACCGAACAAACTCCCGAACAACTAGGAGGGAGACTGTAAGGGAGGCAGGAGAAGAGAGGATATGTGCAGGAGAGGGGAATTTGCTGTACAATTACTTGGTTGGTTATTGAATCTGCTTGTCAGCCAATAGTCATGGTAGGTATTACTGTTATATACATTCATTGAACATCACGTTCAAAACTTTTGGTATCTGGTATCGCACCTCATTGCCTGCCAGGATATTGGATAATAGGACATTCATATGGAGATCTGTCGCTTGTCTCTTGAAAGCTAGGGATCCTAGACTAAATAGGAAACTTTCCAACCCAGAATTTGTGTTGGGTGGGATTTACAGGGACAGCCTGTGCTCTGTTTTCCCTCATAGAAGAGAGGAATTTTACCTGTATTTGCACAAGCGGGTGGACTTGGGGCACAAATATGGGGGTTCAGCGTTTTACGACTACCATCTGTCTTTTTCTGCAAAGGCATCTTATTCTCTCACTCAAAATAAGGACAGACTGGAGCTAACTGGACACAATCAACCTGTGCAATGTGTACATCGACATCCCACACAGCCTTTATTTACCCTAAGAGGAGCCCTATCACGGGTGGGCATCTTTGTGTTTGTAGAAAACAGTCAACATCAATAAAAACATTTTAGAAGCACAACACAACTTCTAAACCTTTCTAAGCCCTCCCCCGACTAGTTATAGAATAAACACACACACACACACAGTTCAGTAAATAACTTTAATACAATCCAAAATTTCATACAATTCAGTATATATGATGCATTTACCAAATTTGCACACATTAAGAAACGCCATGAGGTAGACTGAATAGTGAAGCCAAATTCACTGTGTTTTGGTCAATAAAGTACATTTATAAAGCAGCATATTTCAATCTCCCATCAGTCACAAAAAGCAATTGTATAAGTTATAGCAAAATAAACATGGCATTGGTAGAATACACTTTACATTCATGTGCATGTCCCTTGATCTGGGAATTGTAGGCTTTACATAGTACACTTAATTCTTTGGTGATGGGCTGTATGACTGTATATCAGAAGTTGTGCGAATCAACATCTTAACTATAGAAAATGGTTTGTTTTTGTTGTTGAATATGAAATTTAATGCAGAATGCTGTAAATCGCACGTATCATTGTGTCTACTGTCTTAACATCATGTTCCTACAGCACAAAAAAATAAAGAGAAAATAAAAAAAATAAGAACGTAAAATAAAGCATAAACAAAATATAAAATATTTTTTCCCCAAACCAAGAACTGAAATAATTTAGTGCAAATTTAAAACGGTCAGCAGGTTTAAAGGGGAACATATTGCACTGCAGGAACCTTTGGCAGTAAGGGTACCACAACATCGAAATTTACATACAGTTTTGTAACAATACTGAAACATACAGATCCAACCAACATTTCATGAAGTTGAGCCAATACAAATCTTCCTCCTATAACCAAAACCAAACACCAGGAAAAATTAATTGGTTATCATCGTCCTGACTCAATACCCCAACACATTTCTATTTATTCTCTAGACAGTGGGTTGTGGTGATTTGGCAACAAAGTTGTGAGATTTAAACAAAAAGTTTGAGGGGAAAAAAAGAAATTACTCAAATCTTTAGCTTTTCCCCAATATCTGTCGTAAATGTTGTGCTCACCACAATTATTTAGTGAATATAGTCATTTGTGCATGAGGGAGAGTTCATAAGACAAGCTCAATAGCAAAATAATTGTAAAAAAAATATATAAAATAAAATAAAAAGTGTATCAAAACATTTGCTCTAAAATAGACCATGTATTTTTAAAATGTGCTACATAAGTCCTTGCTTTTTTCTTTTACGAATATATTAAATATTTTGTTCTAATTTGTAAACATTTATTTTTTTAAACATAATACTTGGATTTATTTATTTTTTTTTTTTTTTAAAACGTGTTGTGGACATGGTTAATATTTTCCCAAGGTGTGGGTGAGAGATGGCCAATACTGGTATATTGAAGATGGTAGTGTATTGGGGTTAATAATGAACATTTACAAATCCCCCCCCACACACACACACACACAATCACTAATGCTTAGATCAGGTGTGCCAAAGTTTGGTCCACACAGCTGTTGCACTACACTTCCTGTAGTTCTATGCCTGACATTTTTACAGAGAATTATGGGAGTTCTAGTCGGACAACAGCTGTAGCGCTACAGCTGATCACCCTTGGTATAATTCACGAGTGCGTGTGCATATCATTCACTGTTCAAATATATTATAGTTGTATTGTCTTCCAAGATTTCTGCCAACAAAGTTATTCATCAGCAAAATTGTAACTTGGAAAGTTCCATTTCCCACAGCAGGAAAGAAAGTGATCCCAACCAGGAAATGTTTTGGAGAAACACACACTTCTATTTAAACATAGTTGAGGGGTACTTACGGACAAAAGTTGGAAAATTCATAGTATATAGGCCCTCCCCATGCAGTATTAACTGAATGGAGCTGTCCATATGTCCGCAGAGTTTAAAATTACCTCAGTCCTCCCCAGAAATAGGTTTTCTGTAGTCCTGTTTTAAGCCAAAGAATAGGAAAATCTGTTCCAACTTGTGGACAGGTGGGTAATGCCTAATCATATTATTGAGTTTTCACAAGTAAGTTGGAGGCTTTAGTTCAAGAAAACAAGCACAAATTACAGGTTTTACATCATAGATTCCCTTATCGGTCAATCTGAAGTCTGCAACTGAAAACCTTTCTATTATCACTGCTACGGCAAATGAAAAACGTAGACATACAGAGAGTAAACTGGTAAGGTTGGACAGTATACACACTGTCAAAGCCATGGTAGGTGGCAAGTAATAATAAAAAGATGCCAAAAAGGTCTGTTTTCCAGCACATCCAACCTCTGTCTTCCATAACAGTCTGTATCCAAGGATACAATGATAAAAATGTATTATCATAGATGGATCATAGATAGTTAACTCTTTAAGCACTCAAAGGATTCAGGATCTATAAAGACGAGTCTTAAACTATCCATGGAGTCGAATGCAGTGAATATTTAGAATAGCTCAACGTACAGAAGCCAACACTGAAAAAAGGAAGATATTACCCCGTTATCCAAAATCTGCTCATTTAGAACCCCTGAGATTGCAGTATACAAGGAATAGAAAAATTAATGGTCCAATGAAAATAATATGTTCTCATGATAGAAGATGGTGTAATAGCTTATGGGCATTTTAATCGAAGCTTAAAAAATAAAATAAAGAAAATCTTAATTATTCCAAGTAGTCCAAGATAGAACCCAAAGAGTCATCACTCACAGAGCTTTCATCTACAATGTTTCAAGAAAGAATCCAAAGTAGTCACCATTGATCTTTCCTCTTCAGTATTCCAAGGCAACCCACAACAATAATTGTAAATGTAATTTAATTTTCCATAATTCAATATATAACCCCAAGTGGTCATCGTTGAGCTTTGTCTCCATTATTTCAAGATGGAGCCCAAACAGTTATCACAGGGCTCTAGCCTTCACTGGGAAATCCTCTTTGTGAGAATGACAGATGACAAAACATATAAAATGTTTGACATACCAAGTTCACATCATCTTCCTAGCAGGATAGAAGGTTAAAGTATCTGCCTTCTGATCCCGGACACAAAGGTAGGCTTGCGTTTCCTCCATGATGATTGATCTGAGCAGTCTAATTTCCATAAAAGACTCAGATGTGGCGTCCAGTAAGAAAATACAGTGGTTTGTCATCGCTACTATTCGCAGTCTGAAACTCATCTCGAAGTCGGAACTGCCATTCATCCTCTAGCTCAAGTCGCACAATTGTTTGTCGTAGGGAGCTTCGATCTTGGCAAATGACACAAAGAGTTGCACCTGCAAATAAAAATACAATTAATAGAGACGGTCAACTATATTGACCTACTAAACACAACCATTCAACACATGAGTAAGCACAACTCCCAAAAATATGTTGAGAATATAATGCCCTGAAGGATTTGCAGATAAACATACCCAAAACCTCAGTGTTCAAAACGCAAAAGATTTGACAAAGTAAACAGCAGTCTAATCATAACCTTTCTTTGAGATGATTTGTCTAGCTTATTTGCCAAAAAAAAAAGCCAACCTTTCTGTGGGCTATTATCTATTATTACACATCTGTTATATCAACTCCGCCGAAAAGAACACCCTAAATATAGCATTAGTAATAGGCTTTCACTGACTAAACTGACAAAGAAATAATCGTGACTTTATGATCTGTTTAAATTTAAATAGGGCCAGAATAGTTGAAGTAGTTTGAAGCCAGGTAATGCTAGCAAAAAGAAATGTGTTGCCATAGCAGCACAAACTGCTTCTGGAACATTAATTGGGTTCAAGGTTCCGATCTGTTTCCCTCTCAATGCTCAACAGTAAAAACAACACAGTACTGAATAACTCAATAGATTTAGCAAAGTGCCATAGAAAAGGACTGCATCAGTTGTATACAAAAAGATTTAAAGGGGAACTCATTTGGTCTGAAAATGCCTTTTTAAAGGAACGCTAGAGTGTTACCAATATAAACGTGTATTTCTGGTGTTACCCCAGCTATTTAAGTTTCTCGCCCCTCTGTGAGGGTCCAAATGATATTGCTTACCTTTACTACCTCACCATGCTGGGCTTGCTATGGCAGCCCAATCTCTCTGACTGAGATCGAGATTTATTAATCTCACCCACTCCAATGCTTCTCCATAGAGAAGTATTGTGAGGTTAGTTTGTTTGTACGGCAAAACGGTATCTATGAGCAGCATTTAATTAAACAACCAAGTCTGACTATGTTATTCAGTGGAAGTGCCTCTAGTGGCCGTCCAGAAGACAGCCACTAGAGGCGTGTTTCATCCTGCAATTCCAACGGCAATGTTTTAGATTGCAGGTTTAAATCTAAAAGGTCACTGTACCCAGACCACTTGACTGAAATGAAGTGGTCTCGGTGCCTTTAGTAGTTCTTTATATCAAGCATAAAAAAATCCTTTAAAAGGTTCTTCACTTACATTAAATACCCTATATTTAATAAGTTGTGGATTGTTGGGAATTTAAAGACAATTTAGACCAACATAGTGAAACTGGAAACACCGCTTACTTTTTCAAATTGACTTTTTAGAACTAAAAGTTGTAAATTCACTTTGAATTCCTAACCACTCACACTTCAGTAAATAATCCTGCTAGGATCTGCAGAGATCACTTAATTTTGGTCATCAAACAGATTTCAGCAAAAGCTCTGTAATATTCCAAAGTATCCCACTGAGGTGACTTTTATAGTATACACACAGCACATGACGGCAGCCAGATTTTAAAAGAATACAGCTTGACAAATTAGTATCGCATAATATGCTAAGCAAGAAATTCTACTTTTTAAAAAATGTATTTATTTTATTAAACCGTTCAATCCCACTACGTGTTTCACTGATGAACACAATGTTGGATCTGGGTCACAACATGCAAAATATATAGAGGATATACATTTGTTCTTGATCTTTTGATATAAAATACCTTTAAGCTGTTCTCTCATTATCTTAGTGTCCAATGCTAACAAATAATTTACTATGCCTGCTCTCAGAACACTTTGTTTATATCTCTTGCTTTACATAGTTAAAAAAAATGTGCAGCTTATCGAGACTTGTAATGTAGATGTCATAATCATACACATTGTCTTTAACCATATTACATGTCCTTGCTACTCTGTATTTTTGTCCCTGCATGTCAAAAAAAAGAAAAAAAAATACCTTTAAGAAATCTGTAATTCTTCAACATCCCTGCACAGACAAACGAGTCACACAGGTATAAGAGAAGACCGCTGAACACCACTCCTTCACAGTTTATATTCACAGAGTGTGGTCTGGAACTCACATAGCACAAAGTCACCTGGCGGTGGGGAAAAAAAAAAAGTCTCAATTTGCAAATTAATTAGAGTAATAAGTATCAAATCAAGGATAACGAACCCCAAAAATACCATTAGTTGTGTACGTAAGGGCTTGTTAAATAAATTAGGTACCCTACACAATCCTGGTGCCATCCCTTAGTTTAATATTATATCATTTAAAACAGTCTGATATAGTCTTAACACTGTGACATAATCCATGTCAATTTCATCCAACATGAACAACAGTGATTGGCAGCAAACCAGCGCCAGCTCTCTTACCCAAAGTGATTTTAGCGATAGCAATAGTGCTACAATGTTGCAGATAGAACCATGGTTGATCCAGAGTAGGACCCTGCTTACAATTGGATGTCTACGTCTGTAATGTTGCTTTAATATAAGCTATCCAATAACGGTTTTTAACCTATCAGGTGTAATAGTTTTAACTACTGACATAATATTTCATCACTTTAACAGTTAAAAATTAATTTTAAAGAATACCCGGCATTTATGTGAGTGAAAGAGTATAAAATTCTGTCTATACATTGTGCTAGCAGATAGGTCTTTCTCCCACTTCTCAGTCAATAGACTGTGCGGATAATTTGACTGACACGGGAGAGCAGAAAATACTTCTAACAGGTGATCCTTTTTTCTCATGCAATGCAGTTGCTATGGAAATTCCCTAGTCGACATTGCTGGATAGAGAGTATAGAACAAAGTGACTCATGTTGCTCTGTTTAGACGCTGGCAACGAAGCCAGCATCACACAGGAAACTTGCCCTGGTTGTGAATGTGCCCCCAAAGCAGCGCAAATCACACAAGACACCAGGATGTTTAAGAGAAAAGTAACGAATCTCAGGACATGGCAGCACTGGAACGAAGAGTATATATCAAAATTTTACACTGAATAAATAATCTCTCTCTATGATATCTGATGTATTCTATGTGTTGGGAGAGGGGAGGGGAGAAGTGTGAGGTGGGTTAGCTATTGTTAAATTTTACATGACAGGGTTCACTTTAAGCTCCATTCATTTTCCTAACCTAGATATCCACCTACTTCTGGATTACTAACAGTTTGTTATTACATACAACAGATATCAGCTGATCAGGCTGGTACTTGCAATAAATATATTGGTATCTCAAGCACTACCGTCCGGCATTATCACGTCAAGCTTTTATTACACCAAATAAAAAAAAATAATACCTCTGGTCCCAAATTCAAGTAACAGTCTACAGCAAGCACTGGGTTCCTTGGGTTGTAAACAGCTTTTGGAAAAAGCCTGTGAGGACTTAGCTGTAGGAATTTTTCTAGCAAGAACTGTGCTGGAGCAGCAAGGAGAGTCTGTTCACTGTCTGGAGCACATACATAGTGCATCGGGGAAATGGGACCATTGCTTTCTGTGATCTAGAAAGAAAAAGGCAAAAACAACAAGATTATACACCATGTTATAGAAGCATATACGAATATGAACAAACCGCTAAAGTTTACAAATATGTAATGAGCCAGAGAGAGATTAATATTGAATGCAATCCTTTGTTCACTCTGTGTACATGCACTTTTTCACATGGTAGAAAAGCAGAAAAAAGTAACTACACAAAAAAAATGTATTTCACAAATAATGGTGTTTCAGCTAAAAAAAAAAAAAAAAAAATTGGATAAAAAATAATTTAAATAAATGAACCAAAAACAATTACTGTAATTTTGGGCTTGATAAAGAAGTCCTTGTGTCCTCCAACATGAATATACTTCTTTATGACACTGAAATTGTTGAAGCGGCAGATCAGGAGACCACTGCTATTTACTCGGAGATTGAAGTCAATATCCTCACAGAAATACCTACGCAGAATAAAAATAGGAATGTTATACATCGACAGACATACAGACAGCTAGCTAGATAAATGGAATCATAGATTGAGATTCTGTTTCAGAACTCAATAATGCACTGTGGAATTACTTTCTGTATTAAATAATGATTAACAACAATGGATCTTCTCTCTGCCGTTCATGGGTAGTGATGTCCCGAACGGTTCGCCGCAGACGGCAAACAAACATAAATGTTGACCCTGTACCTCACAGTCAGCAGACACATTCCAGCCAATCAGCAGCAGACCCTCCCTCCCAAACCCTCCCACCTCCTGGACAGCATCCATTTTACATTCATTGTGAAGCTGCATTCTTAGTGAGCTGTCCAGGAGGTGGGAGTGTCTGGGAGGGAAGGTCTACTGCTGATTGGCTGGAATGTGTCTGCTGACTGTGAGGTACAGGGTCAAAGTTTATGTTTATGTTCGCCATCCGCGGCGAACCGTTCGGTGAACCGTTCGGGACATCACTATTCATGGGCCCTAATCACAGGCAGTAGTGGGATGTAAATGCCCAAGATCAGTAGGAGTTACTAGCATCTGCTGCCATTTCTTTTGTCAATCTTTATTTTTATTGAGACATTGTGTAGTTTAGTATAGAAAGAAGAAAATGGATTAGAGCAATTACACAAATACCCAAGATGCAGATGGCATATCAAATCCCGAATTAACAGTCATTTTTTGTGTGAAATAAACAGGCTAAACAGGTATGTGACGTTAAAAGACATGCTAAGTGTATCTGTGTAGGGTCAAATCAGCAGGTAACAAGATTAAACCTTGCTAGACAGGCTATTATTAAAGGGACACTATAGTCACCAAAAAAACTACAGCTTAATGTATTTGTTCTGGTGAGTAGAATCATTCCCTTCAGGATTTTTGCTGTAAATGCGGTCTTTTAAGTGAAAATGCAGTGTTTACAGTACAGCCTAGTGATAACTCCAATGGCCACTCCTCAGATGGCTGCTAGAGGTTCTTCCTGGGCAGTGCTGAATAGAGTATAGCACAGCTATTCGGTATCTCCAACCTCTGCATGCAGACGCTGAACTTTTCTCATAGAGATACATTGATTCAATGCATCTCTAAGGAAATGCTTATTAGCCAGGCTGCGTTTGACTTGTGCTGGCTCAGCCAATCCTTAGGGGGAAGCATTGTGATTCACTTAGACGACTACTTTTGATGATGTCAGCAGACAGCAGGCAGGTCAAAGGCAGACAGGGGCAGAGCCAGCAGCTGCAGACTTGAATACAAGTAAAATTTAACTATATTTAGGGAGGCAAGGAGGGACCGGGGGGGTAGATGGTGGTTAACACTATAGGTTCAGGAATGCATGTTTGTGTTCCTGACCCTATAGTGTTCCCTTTAAAAAAAAAAAAAAAAAAAAAAAGCAAACACATCAAGTGCTGGCTAAACCAGGCAGAAATCATCATCATAGCTAATGCTGCCATTTTAACAGAGGCAGCTAAACACCTCTAACTCTCACTAATCCAGGGTAGAAATTCACCTTATATGTCCCTGTAAAGAACTCTCCTTAACCCCTACACTTCCCTAACTCTACACTAGGGGTCAAGTGAAGGCTCTAAAATGAGTAAGGCGTAATGAGTGATATTGGTTAATATACAATGCTGCTTTTAAATGCATAGGAAGAATTTGAGATATATGATCTAGATCTATAAGCCCTTACACTGCAGGATTTTAATATATTTCATTAACATTCACCACCTACTGGTTTGATATTTATTTTGTATCTGTAACCATGGATGTTAGCATGGGAGGATGTGAGTGAGGGATCGGTCTACTGTAAATTTATTTCTAGGGATGTTACAAAGGAAACAACTGCAGCGATTATTCATATTTTCTCCCATTTGTATTGGGACAAAATAGGCAAATCATATTTGAAAAGGTGGATAAAATATAATATGTTAAAAAGAGAAGATCAAGGAAATGTGTGCATTAGTCACAGTGCCCCAAAACAGGGGTACATTTTGGGGCTGGATGTGAAGGATAAATGAAAAGAAAATAAATGGAATAAAAAAAAAGAGAAAAGAATTTGTAAACAAAAGTACACTAAACAAAATGTTAAATACACATCTAGAGGATCAACAGACAGATTTATTTGTACCGAACGAAGTCTCTCTAGACATTTACTGCTAGAGATGTCGCGAACGGTCCGCGAACTTCTCGTGAACGGTGCGCCACGAGCTGTTCGTGGCGAACTCCCATCAGCTGACTCCCATCAGTTTCAACATGGATGCTGTCCAGGAAGTAGGCGGGTCTGGGAGGGAGGGTCTGCTGGAGATTGGCCGGGACGTGCCAGCTGACCGGAGTTCGCCACGAATAGCTTGTGGCGAACCGTTCGCGAGAAGTTCGCGGACAGTTCGCGACATCTCTATTTACTGCCAGTTAGGTCAGAATCTAAAATAGTGACAGCTGTGAATAATAAAATTGTCAGCTATGAATAATCTACACAGTAATGAATGGTTACAAAGGGGCCGCAGTCTGGATAATGGGATTTCTCTTTAACACTCTCAAAATGTATTCACATTAAATTCTATGCATAGTTCGTAATTTTAGAATACAAATTTACTAGTTTCAGCTGCAACAGTGTTCTGCTCAGCAACAGAGTGGATCACAACAGTGAATTTATATAAATAAATCTATCCGCCGATGCCGGTAAAGCCAATTTACGTAAAGCCAACTCTTGGTTCTAAAGAAAAAAAGAGCCACTTACCTGTTCAAGTCATACTGCACATTTTGCGTTACATCAACATTGAGAAGAATGAAGTCGTGGACATGGCATCTGGAAAATGGCCGTTTGGGTAAAGATGTATTTAACTTGTGGTTCCATTTCTGGATGCCCAGTATTGCATAGTTGCTGATCTTTGGAGTTGCCTCCATGTGTTGCAAAACATATCTTAAGGACACATTCCTGATAATGCTGTCTGTTTCTGAAGATTGGCTGCTGGAACAAGACATGGAGTAAAAATACTATTAAGGATTTGAGATCTGAGTACCGGGCGTTTTCCCTTGCTCTGGCAATAAGGCAGTATAGTAAAATGCAAAAAAGCTGAAAGACCCATGAGCTCTCTTGTATGAATAACCCTACAAGTCATTTCATTCTATACTACAGTCATACATTTTAATATACATTTTAAATCTATTCACTCCCAATAACACAACCAGCAGTGATCAGCATCATAGCTCAACCTTTTGTATATACATTTTTCCCCCATTGTAATAACAAATAAAATCTATTATTATTTTATTCAAGTGTTTAACTCAATCATTATGATATATTTAAAAGCAATCCGGATTATGATTATTTTTGGAACATAGCAAGTTGAAAGGAAGGATCAAAAAGGGCAAGTTTATTATTACTTTTTAATATGCATAGCAAATTGTAACCCAATATAAATATACATATATACTGGTTAAGTGTCTGGTGCAACCTTTTAAGCCTATCTGGGCCACTGGCTTAATTGAAGAGGCATCAGTCTTGAAGTCAGAGTGTGCTAATGCAAGCAAATATTTTGGAGGGACAGTCACTAAGCGAAACTTCCTCATGATCACATCTGCAGCACAGGTAGTAGGCTCTGGATGCAGGGGAACCATGGGTTTTATAAAAATGCCTAGATACCTACTTGCAAAAATATTTTGTACTGCTCCCCTCCCCCAAACTGGACACCTAAGTGTAATCAAACACACAAACATCAGAGACTATGTATATGTAAGTGAATCTCTTACAAGAAGCCTTCCACTACAATCTTTACATTTTTAGAGAAAAGGCAATGTTTACATTAAAGCCTAGGAACACCTCTAGTGGTCACTCCTCAGACACTGAGCGGCCGTACTGCACACTGTGTCTCCACTCTCTGCATGGAGATGCTGAGCTTTCCCCATAGAGATGCATTGATTCAATGCATTTCTATGAGGATATGCTGATTGGCCAGGGCAGTGTTTAGCCCCGCCCCCTTGCCTGAGATCATCAGAAGTGATGAACTAAGCCAATCTAATGCCTTCTTATGAGGTTGATCGGAGGCAGGGCCAGATTGAAAAGCCCCGCATGGCGTGGGAAAAAGATGCGTAAATCACCTTTCTAATCCAAGGTGTGGGTGGCCAACTACCTCAATGGTGGTTTAGAACTATAGTGTAAGGAATATACATTTTTGTTGCTGACACTATAGTGCCCCTTTAAGAATGCTCTACATATGCTTTACACTTTACCCTTAGAGTATTTGAGTGTTCCAAGCATAGCTGAAATTTAAAAAAAAACCTCTCACTGATATCTTTATGGTAAATATGTTTGGAATAAATAAAAATACGGTTTCACATTATGGAGTGAGATGTACACAGCGCTGAGCATAATGGAAAACTAACAAATCTGAGATGTACTTTGGACAGGTTTCTATGCATTAATGGCAATTTTTACACAGTGTACCTCATACCTGAACTGTTCCTGGAGCTTTCCATGTGCATTCCATAGTACGCATGAATCATCCATTATGACTATAAGGGGCCACACACACTGACGTTTCACACCTATCTCTTCCAGGCGATTCCGTTCCAGCTCCAGGTTATGGTAGGAAAGTTCTTTAATAAGGAACTTGGCAGCTCCTGCAACAAAGTAAAAAAAGGTTTAACTCATCTTACCAGTATGTACACCAGTCCATTTATGTAGTATGGTCCTCCTGAAAGGCAGGAATATAATCCCCAAAACACACAAAAAGATATCGCAAAGACTGTTTTTGACAATAAGGTGTAAATCTGCCTGACGTGCTACATGGAGGGAAAGGTCTTAAAACTGATGATACATGAGACGATAACAAATAAAAACTTTGGGAGGATTCCATGTAGAGACTGACAAACCAATGTAACGATCTTTACTGTACGTAATATAAACTGACAAATTCTATCAAAAAGTGTTTGATTGTTAATGAATGAAGACACTAATGGGGAGGGGATCCTGTAGAACACTAAATAAGATTAACACAGTCTATTACACAAACCTTTCAAAGAGGAGTCCCTAATGATTGGTTTAGTGTGAACTCAATGTTTTGAATAGAACATACTGACGACAGGTGGCAAACCACTCACCTTTACCAGCGTTGTTGAACATGCCAGGTAACACCAGCATAATGTGGTTGGACCAGTATTTACGGTACAGCTGCATTTCATATTCCTTCACCACCAAGATGTGCAGGTGGCTGATGCCTTCCATAGCATGAAAGAGATTTAAGAGTCCATGTTCATGGCGCCCACTTGTAGGTGTGAAAATAGGGCTCTTCAGAACATTTGGATTTTGCTGCAGGACACAATGAGGATACATGTTAATCAACCTTACAACATATTTTACTGAATTAGAAAGACACACAAAAACTATTTAAATAAATAAAAGCACATCCACAGCCTCCAAAGAAATTGATTTTACAAAAATATATTTCTAGATAACATGCTCCCGGGCCTAACGTTTCATTGCATAAAACTTTAAAAGTTTCAATAAAAAAACAAAAACACCATACTTTATCAGAGAGCAGAGAGAGGCGCATGCTCTCCAGATGTTTCCCTTGTTTACTGAAGACAAAGTGATGCTCTTTTGATTTAGGAATGATAAAATGAAGCTGGACCTCTTCTCCCAGCATTGAAGACGAGAAGGTGAAGGCATGCAATGAGGATTCAGGCACCTAAAGGAAGGAAGGAAGTGTTTAAATGTTTATTGATGGGGGAGATTTAGCATCATTTGGTTGCAGCAATAGCTTTTTTTAATCCATTTTACAACCACAACAAAAACATCCACTGGATGGCTTCTAATGAGGCAAAAGCCCTGAATTCACAGCCAATATATATATTTATTGTGCAAAATGTAATGATGTAGTAAGGCTAACACACTAAGCA